TTTCTCTCACATGTGCAAAATTGATCAAGAATTTTTCTAGGCATCTTAATATTTTTTTTCTCACGCATTGGCATTTATTAGTCCACTTTGGGACGACAATTGAGACTCAACCACCGTTAGGCTAAGTAACCGGGTGTGGGTTACCCAACTTAGAAGGACTAGTTGTCTTTATCACCATTATTCACTTTTCGGTGCCTTAAGTCATTCTCTCAATCAACCTTATACATGCAATTCTTTTTAATTATGTCGAACTATCACTAAGAACTAATCGGGGAATACTTCTCAAATTCGAGTACTATGGCACAAATCTACACGTTGGACTAGTTTCCTTACTCCGGGGAATTTAGGGTGTTCAGGTTATACCTTAATTTCAAAACTTTCCCAATGTTCCTAGTTCTAGCTCCTCTTCCCTCAAACTCTATATACTTTCTTGACTACCTCACAATCACAATATTCATAAGAAAAATTTCTACGGTCCTAATTCAGGGAGAACTCTAAGTGGTTTTAATAAAACAATGCATAAAAAACAGATATAACACATACTAAATGGAAAAACTAAAAATAGTAAATCCTTCCCCAAACTTGAACTAAACATTGGCCCCAATGTGTTAGAACAAGAGAGAGAAGGGTTACTCACAGAGATCCTTACTGAGGATGCAGAAGGTAATGCTGCATCATAGCCTGCATGAGTAAGACCTTGTTTATTACCTGCAAATGAAACAAAACAAACAACGAAAAGAAAATGCTCAGTCAGTAAAATCTTGGGTTGCCTCCCACGTAGCTCGTCATTTAGCGTCGCATGACTCGATGATTCACACCCCATTTTATGGGGGTATTTCAGGTTCCTCACCTTGTTGCTTGACCTTTTTGCAAAAGCGAACTAGTCTGGTTCAGAGATAAGAGCTACTTTATGCTTTAAGTCACCTCCAAATTCAATATCTTTACCTTTTCTTTTCTTGATTTCTTGAATGAATCTTTAAGTTGCCATGCCTGGTGAAGCCGATAACAATGACCCCCTCTGAGAGCTTATGCTTGAGACTTTTTCTGGAGGAGGTTTTGGAATTTGGTTTTTCCCATACGTTATGATCACGCCAATAGGAGATCGATTACCTTTTTCTTCCCCTTTGTTCTTAATTTCAAATACTTTCAATGTTATCTCTTCATCAAATGACCTTAAAGTCAGAGTTCCTTTTTCCACATCGACGTTGCATAGACTTATGAGTAAGAATGGTCAACCAAGAATGATAGGGGTTTCTTCATCTTCTGGAATGTCCATGATCTCAAAATCAACTGGAAAGATAAATTTATCAATCGCCACCAGTACATATTCGGCTAGCCCATATGACCTCTTAACCGTGTGGTCAGAAAATTTTAAATTTGTCCCCGTATTGCTCACCTTTTCAATACCCAGCTTTTTAAAAATAGACAATGGCACGAGACTCACACTAGCACCCAAATCAATTAAGTCCTTCTTGAAAGTTCTGTTCTTTATAGTGCATGGGATGGCTACAGATCCAGGATCTTTCCACTTGGTGGGGATTCTCCTACCTTGTGATATTTCACTACACTGCTCAGTTAAAATTTTCTGCTCCTCTCCCATTGGTCTCCTTTTAACGATTATCTCTTTCATGAATTTTTTGTACAATGGAATTTGCTCGAGTGCTTCAAACAAAGGCATATTGATATCTAAATTTTTGAACATTGTGATAAATTTCTCAAAGTCTTTGGTCTTTGGATATTTCTTTGTCACTCTCGGAGGATAAGGTAGCTTGATCTTGGGTTTAGCCTCCTCTTTCTTTTTCTCTTGAGTTGGCTTTACGGGTGGTATAAATTCTTCTAGTTCTTTCTCATTTTAACTCACTTCCAGATCCACCTTTATACAATGATAATCATTTGTGGCCCTTTCTTCCTCTTCTTCAACAAATTTTTGACTTCTTGTTGTGACAACATTAACATTCTCGCGATTCTTTGGATTTGGTACTGTCGCGCTCGGGAAGGTTCCTTGAGTTTACATGGAGAGTTGTTGTGCTATTTGTCCCATCTGAACCTCAAGATTTTAGATAGAAGTTGCGGTGTTCCTCTGATTATTTTGGGTCTCTTCTTGGAATTGAATATTATGAGCTTCCATCTATCCCACTATGCTTTCTGAGGAGCCTATTGCTGCTGTTGGTACTTAGGTTGCTTCTGATCTTTCCAAGAGAAGTTACGATGATTCTTCCACCCTGGATTATAAGTCTGAGAACATGAATTATTCTAGCTCATAAACTTTATCTCTTCAATTTGTTGTGCAATCGCAACGCAATGTGCAGTAATATGGGGTCCACTATAAATCTTACAACTCACAGCTTGACCGGTTTGAACTTGAGCTACTTGTTGAGTACCTAAATTCATGCCCTAGAGTCTTCTCTCTACTTCAGCATCTACTTGGTCTTCTATCTTTACAACCTGATTTACTAGTTTCAAGTCAATCACATCCTCAGGTTTACTCACACTTCAATCATATAACTCCAGATGTTCATTTGCAGAAATGGCTTCTATGATCTTCTTGATACCAGTGGCTGTTGTAAAATTGGGTGAGCCACCAGCAGCTGTATCGATAATTTGCTTAGTCTTCATTTGGAGGCCATTTACAAACATCTGCATCTATTCAGTTTGATCCATATGGTGAATGGGACATGCCACCAATATCCTTTTGAACCTGTTTTAAGCATTACCAAGTGACTCTCCTTATTTCTGCTTAAAATTCACAATATCATACCTTTTTCGAATATAAATAGAAGAAGGAAAGTATTCATTAAGAAAATTCTTCTCCATCTCTTCCCAAGTAGTAATACTCCTAACACGTAATGAGTAAAACCACTTTTCAGCATCTTCAGAAAGAGTGAATAAAAACATTCTTAATTTCTTTGCTTCTTCAGAATGCCCCTCAATCTTCAAAGTAGTGCTTATAGTAAGAAACTTTCGCAAATGCTTATTTGCATCTTCATTAATCTTCCATGTAAAAGGTCTCTTCTCAAGCTGTCGGATTGTTGTAAGGTGCAGCTGAAAGTTAGTAACATTGACCGGTTGATTCACAATAGTCAACCGACCTGATGGAGCATTTGCTCCCCCATAATCCCCAAAAAGCCTTTCTTGAGGTTCACCCATTAAAAATTTTGTCTTTAACTCTGTGTCTAACTCTGAACTTGTATCTGAATGCTCTGAATGAAGAGAAACTTCTTCTTTTTCTTGTTCTGGGATTTGAGCTTCCTCTTATGCGGATGCCAGGCTTGCTTGTTTAGTTTGTTTGAGCCTAGCGTGCAAATATCTTTCGGATTCTGCGTCAAAAGGAAAACCAGCTTAGAGATTTCCTCGCATACAAAGCTTAGACAAAGATCAGTAATAATAGTAAACAAAATTAATATAAGCAGAAAATAAAATTTTAGTTGTAGAGCAACAAAATTCTAATTTAAATAAATTTGTGAACTCTATTATCTTTGGCAGTCCCCGGCAACAGCGCCAAAAACGTGATTGTTGCCTAGTTTCCACTATCTGGTTCATTGGTTACACTATAGTGCTATCGGCCTGAACCTTCGTTTGCTTTTCACTCTCGTGTCTAAAAAATAAATCATACAATATAAAACTATAACCAAAACAACATATAGTCATAAGTTCACACCTACAATTTTCTACTGAATCCCATCGGTAATGACGGTCCTCATACGCTGAACTCAAGTAAATTTAGCAAGACATGACTTTAACTAAAAATAACATGACCAAAGCAATTAAACTTAAAACTAGCATGTTGTACAATACTATAAAGCAATAACAAGTGCAAGTAAATAAACGGTAAAAACCTGAAAATTAAAGAACTAAAATTTGTATTGAAAGGAAAATGCTGACAGGCTTTGTTTGCAATCCAAGAGGTACAATATAAAAATAAAAGGAAAAACAATTGTGACAATCCCTCGATGTGAGTTATTGTCACTTTTACAGGTAAATTTCGGCTTAATTCTAAACGTGATTTGGCAGCACTTTCGAATGAGTTGGATATCCCAAAATCTGTCCCAAAGGGTCTATATATAGAGAAATCCTCCTTAGTAACTGCTTTCGTAGTGTCCACAAGGTGGAGGGAAAAGGATTGATGAAAACTACTTGGAAAACTGTCGCTGTTACAAAACTATTGTCTTCGACCTAATGGCGAACGCCATTTTCCATTGCGTCTTTATTAATTGACGTGGCATTGGTTGGCAATGGCAAACACCATCTGGGAGCGGCGAATGCCATATTAGCAAGTTGGCAGAATTTTCTCTCTTTTGCTACTCTTTGCTCCTTTTTTCCGATTTGCTCTCGAATCCACAACGAGTGAGGCTGACAACTGCAAAACACACAAAAACAAAGTAAAAGTGATAAAACATAATAAAATACGGACAAAATAAGTATACAATAGGCCTAAAAACATTATATGATTCCTCGTTATCATTCAACATACGATACACACAATTGATCGAGTGAAATTTATTGGCATAAAGCCACCATGAGTTTTCCACTTTAAACCCATAACGCTTATATACATATGTGTGTGTGTGTGCGCGTGCGCGCGCGCTTGTGTCTGTGTGTGAAATATGATATGTCATTTTATAATAATGAAATTGATAAAATAAAAAAAATTATCGATTTCTTTCCCAAATATTAGCTTAAATGATGATTACAATTGGTATTCTAGCTGCAAAACTTATCGATTATGGTATGTCCAAGCTAAAAAATAGATGGAGAATCTCTTTAGGTCTTGGAGCAGTGCCAAAAGTTGTTTTATGCAGCAGAGCTCTTTGTTTAGATGAAACACCTAACTCCTTGATTAAAAGAGAAGATCATGAAAAAACAAAATCAATGTTGAAGAAGATTTGTGGCACCTAAAACTTCGATGAGGAATTTCAAGATCTTTTTATGCTAGCGAGGAAGCTAGTAAGGTGGATCATCCATGGAAGAATATTTCTCAACCAGAATATAGACCTCAACTTATGTTTTTCTCTTGCATTCCATTTTTCCAACAACTTACTGGAATTAATGTCATCATGTTTTACGCTCCCACTCTTTTCAAGATCTTAGGATTTGGTGATGATGCTTCACTCATGTCTGCAGTTATTAGTGGTGGTGTCAATGTTGTTGTTACACTTGTTTCTGTCTTCACCATAGACAAGTTTAGAAGAAGGATATTATTTCTTGAGGATGGCACACAAATGTTTATTTTCCAGGTGAAAATTTTCACACATATTAAACGCATGGGCATTGATAACTATTTTTAAAAATGGAAATGATTTAATGTAATTAAATATATGGTATAAAATGATTAATGTTTATTTTGTAATTAACTTATGATTGCAGGTTATTATTGGAATTATGATTGCTACAATGTTTGGATTGACTCGCCAAGGATCATTTACAAAAGGCGAAGCCGACATTCTTTTGTTCTTTAATTGTGCATATGTTGCGGCATTTGCATGGTCATGAGGACCATTGGGTTGGTTAGTTCCTAGTGAAATTTGCATGGTCATGAGGACCATTGGGTTGGTTAGTTCCTAGTGAAATATGCGCTCTTGAAGTTTGACTTATAGGTCAAGCTATAAATGTTACGGTGAACATGTTCTTCACATTTATCATTGCTCAAGTCTTCTTAACCATGCTTTGTCAATTGAAGTTTGGCCTCTTTTTCTTCATACGTTTTGTGATTATCATGACCGTTTTCATTGCCTTACTCTTACTTGATACCAAGAATGTTCCAATTAGAAATAAAAACTCAAGTATTTTTACCCTGGTTCGTTGAACTCAACTACTCCAGTCCACCCTTCCTAGAATGATTTGCCTTTCTCAAATAAGGACTTTATCCACTATTTAATCAACTGATTACAATAGTAAGCACTAAGAACAACTGTTCAAAGTCTTCTCAAGAACTACTGATCCTAACTGGATCTTCTTAAGGTTTTCTTACAATCAAATGTAATAACAAATACAAGTGTTTAAAATGCTTCTAATAAAGCTTTATCACAACTGTGATTTTTTACTTGATATTAAGAACAAAGAAATTAATTCTAGAAAGAATGTGAGTTGAATGAGAGCTTTGAATAATGAAATCTTTTCAGGTAAAACGTCAACTGAAGAAGATGGTTGGAGACTTCCTTTTATAGGCACAGTGATCCAAGAGTATTTCACGTTGAGAAGAGTGTACCAAAAGGTCTGAGCCTTTTTTGTCTTCACATCAAGTGACCTTTTCTAGAAGAAGAAAGCACAGAGAAATCCTTTTTGTCTGTGTTCTTATGTCTAGCATAAATAAGGAAAGAGTCGTTTGGATATTCCAACGGACATAATCTTTGAATTCTTCTTTATCAATTTCCAGCAAGAATCATCAGAGTCTAATTTGATCAGAGCCTTCTGATGTTGATCAGAGTTTTGCTGAATCAGAGTCTTTGCAGCAAGTGTGCTTTTAGCGTGTACAAGTGCAGAGCATATTTGAGTCAGATCCTCAGTACTGGCAGCTTTAGTACTCTCAGAATCTTCTGTAGTATTTTGTTGCACCCCAAAATTTGCCCTCTTTCAAGACTTGACTCATTTCTTCATTTCTTTCAAATTCAATGACATAAAGGAAATCCATCATGAATTCAAGATTAAAGGCGAGAATATTATAAAGAGAAGTTTTATGACATTACAAGAATGTCATTTGTTGCAAGATTTTCAACTCTAAGTAATGTTTAGAAATTAATTTATTTCTAATACTTCATTCAAGTCTCTAGTCAAATTCATGTTATGGTGATGCCACACCAAGTCTACATTATGCTTACAAACATCCAAGAAATATGTAAGGATTAAATCAACATTGGATTGTTTTAAGACCAAGATTATGCATGTTAGTCATAAGCAAAATAGCCCCATGCAAAGGTGACAAATTTCCTCATGTCACAAAATCTACATGTCACAAGACCAAAGGCATAACATGTGACAATGCTTCTACACATCAGAATTTTCAAAATGCTGTCAAAAGAGTAGTAGCATTGACCAAGAGCTGTCCAAGCACAAGCCAACAAAATGGGTGCAAGGCACAAGGTGCTGCAGAAAAACAGCATAGAGTAGTGCAGTAAAAATACAGCATAGTACCTTGCATGGAAATGGAAAGAAAGAGAGTGACATAAGGAAAGGTGGCAAGAGACATTGCCCTATGAAAAAATCTGATATTTGGGGGGAAGAGAAAACCCTAGAGGAGCTGAGATAAGAGGAGGGGGCTGTAAACAAAAAAGGGATGACTCTTCATTCATTCAAGATCCATTCTACACACATTTGCAAAACCAGATTTTGAGAGAGCAACCAAAAAGCCTAAAAAAACAGAAAAGATAGAAAGCTTTGCAAACCAAAAAAAGAGAGTGAGATAAAACCAAGAGAACCACTAAAGAGCAAGAGCCTTCACAACATAGAGTGAGGAGTAGAGCACATCCATCCAAAACCAAGGAGGACTTGCAAGAAGAAGAAACTCTTGGGTATCTATTTTCTCAAAATTTTCTCTCTTTATTTATTTGCTCTTATACTCCTTTTGTTTACTCTTTTATGTGTTGTTAAACTGTATATATCATGTAAGGCCCCATAAGGGACCAAGAAACCATTGTCAAGAAACTACGAAAACGAAAGAAAACGTAGAGAAGTGAGGATTTTGGCTGTTTTAACAGGCTAACAGTCGACCATAGCAGGTCTATGCGTCGACGCATAGCCTGCATTTTTAGACAAATTGAAAAAACTTACAGTATGCATCGACGCATGGGTCGGCGGGCGCTTACCCGTCAGCCCATAAAATAGTGTGCGCCGAGTGCATGGTCGACGCATGGTGTTTATGCGCCGAGCTGTGGGAAAAGGCTGAAAGTCATGCGCTGACCCTATGGTCGACTCATGGCTTCAAAATTTGCAAAAAATGAGAAATTTCTGGCTTTGTGCAGTTTGTTATGACTTCAAATATAAAAAAAAAACCTCAAAAAAATTTTTCTCAAAGAGTTCTCCGTTTTTATTGGCATGTCCCGGTTTTTTTTTAGCCGACTAATCCCATGTGTTGTATGATCTTAGTAGGAATGTTGCTATTGTCTTTGGTGTCTTTTGATTCCAAAAAACCATTTTTAAAAGCAAACTCTCGATTCTCATCGAGCCATTTTTGACCTTGTAAGCCGATTGCCTTGTGCGTCGCCATCGACCTTGTTCGCTTCACCTCAAGCCTTTTAAGCAATTAAACCCTTGACCCAACGTCAGGCGGATTTTCTCAAATAATGGTTAAACCAACTCACCATATTTAACAAAAGGATAAAATTCACTTTGTATTGAACTAAAGAGAGAGGATTAAGTGTAGACTTCTTCCTCTCCGAGTGTTGAGATGCTCACTGTAGTGTGGGTGGTTTTGACACTCGTCTTTCAATACAAAGATGTTTTCATCCACACCTTTTTCCCCTAAAAAACCCCTCGGTCCCGTACCGAGCGCATTTTCAAAACACCTACAATAAATAAATCGATTCTCTTTGTATTGAACTAAAGAGAGAGGATTAAGTGTAGACTTCTTCCTCTCCGAGTGTTGGGATATTCACTGTAGTGTGGGTGGTCTCGACACTCGTCTTTCAATACGAAGACGCGACTTTATCTGCCACCTATCTCCCTCTACAACTTCTTTCCGCAACCTTTGTCACCTAAAAACCTCGGTCCCGTACCGAGCGCATTTTTAAATTCTTTTCATAACAAAAATTTGAATGGTCGTGGAGTGGTTAGGCGTAGGCCTTCTCCTATCCCGAGTGCTGACGTTTACCATAGGGTTCTCTGTCACAAAAGCACTTACCATCCAAAACCAAGAAACAATTTAATAAGAGAATGAAGTTCTCTTTGTATTGAACTAAAGAGAAAGGAATAAGTGTAGACTTCTTCCTCTCCGAGTGTCGAGACGCTCACTGTAGTGTGTGTGGTTTTGATACTTGTCTTTCAATACAAAGACGCTATGTTCGCCACACCCTTTCATAACAAAAAACTTTGAGATAAAGAATTGGGTACTACCCGTAGGGGTTACTATCTGAGGACCTATCTCGCCCCTTTAAAAGAAACAATTCAACAAATCAAATGTGACATCTTGCCTCGCATGGCGAAAACTTATCTTTCGAAAAGGATATGATACGTCCGTTCTACTGCAAACAGGTAATGCCTAAGTCTCCAGCGAGCGAGCAGCAATACACCTAACTGCTAGAATGCGTACGGTAGCATCATCCATAAAAAAACTTCAACAAATCGTAGGCCGAACTATGGCTGCTCTGATTCTTTACTTTTTCAAGTAAGGATATGTAGGCACAAGGGCCACAATCCTTGTCGAGCACATTCCCCCTTATATCTGTAGTTCCCCGAACTACGTCGACTCTGATTTTCTCATATCCGTTGAGAATACGTAGGCCTAGGACCGCGAAGTCCTACCGAGTCCGTCATTTCTCTCTTCTTCCCTGTTACCTCCTTTCCCCGTTTCTAAACCCTTTTTCTGTATCTTTTGGAACACTCTTCATAGTAAAATCTTTAAGCAAATAAATTCACATATTCGACAAGCAAATGGTTCCCATCGAGTACGATGGATGCGAGGGGTGCTAATACCTTCCCTTCGCATAACCGGCTTCTGAACCCAATCTTGGTTGCGAGACCATCTTGTCCATTCTTTTCTTAAGGTTTTCTCGATATTTTCCTTTCCCCTCATGGGATAAATAAAATTCGGTGGCGACTCTTCTGTCCTTTTCCTTTTTCGCCTTCCCCGTCGTTGTGCGTATTTTTCGAGTAGCGACATATTTATGCTTGAAAAACTCTTCATACAGAATTCTTTTTTGGTTCAGATGCTTCTGACTTGCTTCAGATTCTTCTGGAGCTTCTGCTTCAGATCCTTCTAGAGGCTACGCTCAGGATCTTCTGATGGCAGCGTTCAGAATCTTCTAATGGATGCATCTGACGCTTCAGAGCCTAGCATATTTCTTATGTTCAGTTCTGATTTGCTTCTGGAGTGATAATTACTTTAATATCTGCAGCAAACACTCTTAAGCAAATTTTAGAGTATATAATTCTTAATTACAAAATTTCATAATAGTTATCATCAAAATATAGAGATATTATTAAGAACCAATCTGTGTTCTAACAATATCCCCCTTTTTGATGATGACAAAAACATCAGAAATTTTGTTTAATTGAAAATAGAATAATTATAACTCCCCCTGAGATGATGAATCTTCCCCTGAATTAAATATAAATAAGGAATAGAAACTTCCCTTTTATCTTGAGTATTTTTCAGAGTTAGAGCTTGATTGTTCTTAACCATTTGAGAGTCAGAGTGTCTTGCATATTTCAGAGTCAGAGTGTGAAAATTTTCAAATGATCTGAGAGTCTCAGAGTTTCGTTTACAGAGTGTACTTATCAAATGTTCTGAAATACTCAGATTTTATATTAGATAAAATTGATATGTCTGAAGTTTCATT